ATCACATGTAAGATGGTTAGTTAGTCCTAAAAAGGACTATCGCATATAATGTGGCTAGGTAGTCCCTAAAAGGACCATTGCATATTATGTGGCCAGGCTAGTCCTTAAAAGGACTGTCGCATATAACGTGGCCAGGTAGTCCTGAAAAGGACTATCGCATATAATGTTCGGCTGCTGCAGCTGCTGCTGAAGTTGGTTTGGCCCACTACTGCTGCTGCTGCTGCTGAGGTTGGCTGCTTCGTGCAGTCAGCGACGAGGGTTGACCAGGTGAAGGTGAGAGGGGGAGCACGTCACTCTACCCCAGGGCCAAGTTATTTGGTGGAAGGAATCGGCTGTGTTTATGTCGGCTGCAGTTAGCATCGTTGCCGGTTGGCAATGTCTTTTGGTTGATGACTAAAAATTACCTTCCCCATTTTGACTGTACACATGGGTTTCATTTGGACACCATGTGTATATAAAGTAGTTTCCGGTCATTATTTTTAGTTAGGAGGACTTGTGTATGTTTATGTTTTATTTGTTTTGCTTTATGTGTATCGTTCTCTGAAAAACGCCAAGTCACCGGAAATTAACGGCATTCGTTCTGTTTTCTGCGGTGACGCTTTCGGACGTTTGAGTAGCCGGCAGTAACTTCCGTCCAGATACAATAATGCTGTCTATAAATTGACACAGATTGGAAATGTCTTGGTTTAGAAGTGCTTGCAGGGACACCTTTCCATTTGCAACATGGCACTGTAAGAAACCTGATATTATATGACTGTTGATCAGAGTAGCCTCTCAGGTTTTTAATCAAGAGTTTGGGCTCCTAACTATCAGTCAGGATGCAGAAACCAGAAAACTGCCAAACCAGTAATTGTAGGTAAAATCCACTCATATCACCAAATATTCATGACAGGCCTCAAAAGAAGGAAACTAGAAATCCCATCCTAAACAGGAAACAAGGAATAAGCCTCTACTCCTGTTCAAAAGAAGAGAAAGGAGTATGCACTGGGCAATAGGTAGGCCTATCTACTCCTAACTAAAAAAAAAAAAAGTATAATTAATGGATTAGACCACAATATTAGCGAGGAGGCTTGGATGATTAGGGGTACAGTGTTAACTTATTGATTAATTTCAGATGATCCCACCTCTTTCCATTATCATTCTTCCCCACCATGTAGAGAGGGAAGATTAAGGGTGGTGTGGTTGAGTGCAGGATTAGCTGCATATAATTATGTTGGGGTAGGTTACTTAGGAAACTAAGAGTAAGATATTGTCTGTTAAGCTTTAACTTAGTAGAAATCAAAATATCCATTATCAGAAAAAAGTTAAGTGGGGAATTAAAACTTCCCTTATTATATGAATATGAGTATGAGATGTCTCTGAACAAATCCTGGTTCAGCATTTCAAGTTAGGTATGCTCTTAGGATATCATCCCAAATAACCTATTTTGAAAATGCTTATGCTATGATCTAATATATTATTGCTACTGTTGTATATTTTGTTTATTTCAGTCATCTTGTTAATCATAAAGTCATCTGATAACTGCTTTGTTTCTGTTCATTTTGGCTAATATTGATCTTACCACAAATTTTAATATAACAGGTTCTTCCATGTTTTTATGTCTTGTGAGTTTCTCTCTTCTGTAGTTGTGAAAGAGTTCTGACATGTTCATTCCATCTTTAAAGTTTATCTGTTTTTGTTTCTACTATGAGAGTTCCTTTTTAAGCATCCTGTTGAGTCCTCTGTCCTATTAATTCCCTTTTATGTATGGCTGCTATGTCTATGTTCCAGTATTTCCATACACCATTGGAATTATTCATCTTTTGCTTTCTTGCATTCTTTTTAAAGTTTTTACTTAACCGTTCATACATTTTACCATTCCTTGGCATTGCTGTCTTTTTATCAGCTACAAAATTTCATCAGTCATCCACTTCTTTTTGTCTTGTCTCTAGAGCCTCTCTTAATATGATACACTTAAATTTCTGGTTCCATTCAAGTTATATTTGCTTTTTATTATTATGGAGTTTTTTTGTTTTGGCATTGCTTTGTATTTCTTTAATTTCCATAATTTTAATGAATTTGCATATGAAAGAAAGGGTGACACTCCTACTTGGATCAATTTCAGAGTGTGGATCTGCATTTTGTGCTTTTTCGTAGGCCACAAGCATCTTAGGCATTCTTGAAATTAAGTGTTGCTTATTATTTTAGTTATTTGCTGTCTCTACTGTTTCAAGAAATAGGATTCAAGATAAAATGTTTCCAAAACAGAAACTACCATATGGAATTGGCACATACTCTGAATCCTTCATAAATACTAAACACATCAAATACCTTGGGGTATAGATCAGTTATAACAAATTTAGTATAGAAAATAAAGAAACTGAACATAAAATTGGCTGCACTAGGGGTAGTTTTTCACAACATTGCAAGTTGCTACAAAATCAAATTATTAACCTAAAAACTTGAGTCATGTTCTTAAATAGCCTCCTCAGATCAAGACTTTCATATGGATGTAATGCAAACACCAAACTTGTTCAGAAATATTTAAACTGTCACAAATACAAATACTCTCTCAGATCAATGGTTTTACAGTGGTTTTGAGTGAATGAAGCCTGTAGATCTTAATGAGGACCATCCTTCTCTGAACCTTGTAGACTGGTGTTACAGAATCACAAAGAACCCTTCCAAATAACAGAAACCACACCACTTGAGTACTTTCAGCAACAGCAATACCTAAAATGGATAACACCTAAACTGAAAAGAAAATAATAATTTCTTACTTCGGTCTCCTATGATGATGATGATTTCTTATGATTTGCATTGACTCTTGTCACTATCCAGTGTGATATAAAACTTATCTAATTTTTTTTTCATGCTTTGTGACATTGGTGCATATACTTTCACAAAAAGAACTCCGTCTGACAGCGGTATTCCAAAGCATCTACTTATGTAAATATCTTCTTAAGGTACAAAATTTAATTAAAGCTATAAAAGTGGACATTAAAATGAAAGGCATAAATAGCAGAGATAAAAGATAATCACCATAACTGGCAGTTCAAAATACACAAAAAAAGAGAAACTTACCAGCACTAAGCCTGCTAAAGTAGAAAACAGGAATAAACAAAAAAAAAAAACAAGAAAAAATTAAAAGTAAGACAGACACTAACCTATGCAAAAATCTAAAATGCTCAATACCTCTAGAAATTAAACAGCACTCAGTGACTCCAATCCAAATTGTAACACTTTGTTTCATGCTATTTGATCATCAGACAAACCACCTAAATAGTAACATGGGAAAAATGAAAAAAAATCTGTTGCCAACATGGCGGGAAGAGAGAAATTAAGCAAAGAGAAATTATGATGAACATACTTACCAAGTCCAGGTAACTCTATTTATTGGACTTACCAAATTATCCTGACTTGGTAAGTCCATCAACAGGGTTTTTTCTTTTTCCTCCCCATGTAGGTGACTGTTTTTTCACAGATATTTTTTACCTCTCTCTGACACCATGTTATTATTTAAGTGGTCAGACTTCTCTTATTCCTCCTCATATCTTGTCATCTGACAATCACATAGTGTGAAATACAGAGTTACAATTTGAATGGGAGTCCTTGAGTGCTGTTTGGTTTGTTAGTATTCACACACATACATACATACATACATACATACATACACATACAAAAGATGTGGAAACCATATTTATCAAGTTTTGGCAACCATCTGTTATGTAAAGAAAAAGAATCATTGCTAAGTTTCAATGTGATTGGCTTGTGATATAAATAAACATATGTTGATATATTATTAATATATATGTATTTCCTATTCTCAGTGTGGAAATTTATTTCTCACCTTTTTTAAATCTAGATTTTGACTGAACTCAAAATTGTTCATTGTTGCCAATTCTAAATATATAACTATAGCATCAATAAAGCATGCACAAATTTTATCATTGTAGTATAGCTCCCTTTTCCTTGTGTATGACATGATAATCTCGTCATGAAATAGCTTACCATTGTGCTGAACTATATCATAACTAATTTCAGAAATGTTATACACAAAAATATCAAATGAGAAACCATCTCAATAGTTAAGAAAATACTCAACTAGATTAAGGGCTGTATTATTTTATAAAAGCCAATGTTAATTGTTGTTGGTTAGTTTTGTTATGCAAACTGATATCTAAAATTAAGTGAACCATACACGGAGTTTAATTTTTGACCTGGAGGTCAGTTGGCCTGTGACATACTAAGAAACAAGCATACTGATGTAAAATTAGTTTCAGAATACTAAAATAGGATTTTATTATTATTATTATTATAGTTTATAAAACTTAAAATTAAGTTTGGAATTTATTTTTTTATTATTTAACTTGGAGATATATTTGACTTTTAATAGTCTTTCTAAAAACTCAAAAAAATAACCAAATAAGTTAAATATTGTTTGTTTTTAATATCTTTTTTCATAGTATCAAATAAGATAGTTAATAATTGATTTCAACACAATTTCTTTTAGAACTGACTATAACTTCTTGTGGTTTATTTAAGTTCATTTATATTTTTGATTCCCTATATATGCAATATTGGAGATTTTCACATAAGTTGCACTAGCCAACGCCTGGCTAGTTTCCTTTATAAAATGGATGTAACTGGCTGATTTGTTGAGTCTAGAAACCAATTTCTCATCCTTTCTTATCTGCAAAATTCTATATGAACAGAGACCTCCTGCAACATTTTTTTTATCAATAAAGTGATAGATTGTAATGGTAGTAATGATGTAAGTTTTGGAATAACAAAAAAATTTTAACTGAAAAAATATAAAGACAATTGAAATAATTTATTTTGGTTGGAGAAGTATTCTCTATTAGAGGATTCACTCTCAAAGTTATTTTAGCCAACAAAAGAAATATTATACAAAACTATTTGCTTGTTTTTTTAATTTTTTCCAATTAATGTACATACTTTTCTTAACTATAGAATGTATAAAAGATTAATATTTTTGTTTTATTTCATTTCTTTTTCAGCAAAAAATAATCCCAAGGGTTTTCAGGATGTCAACATTAATTGAGATTGTGTGTACTGTTCCAGTGATTTCAACTGTCAGTATCAAATTTATTTTAACAAATATTGATATGATCTTTGTAAATTTATCCCATTTCATTATGTAAAATAGGAATAAATATTAATGAAAACTTGTGTTAACTAAAAAGAAAATGCTTTAAAATGCAGAAAGAAAATGCTATTAGCATATGTTGCTATATTGCATGAAGGGATGCTGAAAAGTTCTCAACCTGACATATTTCCCAAAATCAATATTTCAATGAACAACTACAAAAGTACTTACTTGGGAAAGTGGATCATGCTGAGAACTTTTCAGTGTCCCCTCAGAGTACTAGTTTATCAGCTTTGATAAGTATTTTAACACTGTAGAAAACAATTAAAGCATCTCAAACTAAAATGGAAACTAACAGTGTAAACTCAATTTGTGTAGAGGAGAAATATAATTTATAGAAAATAGTTTCTTTTGTGAACAAGAGACCAGACTACATGTATATAAATAGTTTACAGAAAAGTAACAATGCATATAGTGATTATAATTTTAAAGTCAATTTTCATACACACTTCAATTTCATGTCTAATATTCAAGTATAATATTCTTAATATTAGAAATAAGTCAAAAAAGAAAAAATATGGAATATGATATATAACTTTTATATTTCTGTAATGGCACATATTAAATCTATTCTTTTACTGTTACACATTCCTATATAATAATCTTTCAAATTTAACACTGGTCAGATAAACTAACAAATATTTCTACTATTACATAAAAATTTGTATAAAATGGCCTGTAATATCAACTTTTCAAGAGAAGTAACTAAAGTCTTCAGTAACTATGTATTGCTAAGCCAAAACATTATGACTTCCTGTCTAATAAGGTTTTGGCATTCCATGTGCTCACAAAACTGCTTTTATCTGATCAAGCATGAGCTCTGAAATACTTCAAAAGGTTTCTTCTGATATCTAATGCCAGGATTCTAACATCAGGTTCTTTTAACTGCTACAAGTAATATGGTGAAAGTTTTGCAGAGTGAAATTGTCCAACATATATCTCATAAATGCTCAATGGGATTGGGATTTGAGGAGTTTAGTTACCAAGACAGTAAAATATTCATGTTTCTGAAACTATTCCTATAGAATTTGTGCAGCATGGCAAGGTACATTGTGCAGTTGAGAGATACTGCTGCCATTATAGAAGAATACTGTGATGAAGGAATGTACCTGATCTTCAGTGATGTTTAGGTAGGTGATATATGACAAAGTTACCTTCACATGAATTAGAAAAGCCAAAACTTTCCAACAGAACATAGTCAAACCATCACATTGTCCCGACAATCTTGTCATTTTTCTAACTTTTAAATACCTTATTCAGGAGAAAATGATTTTCTTCCATTCATACAAGTTCAGGTTCAACACTCATTTACTCATTGAAGACACATTTCATGATTCTCACTGGTTAGCATCAATACTCTAACTGATCTGTGGCTCCACAACAAAGATCAATTTTGATGCATTCCTTTCTTCCCCTTTATTAAAACTATCTACAAAAATTTGTAAACTCATAGTAACTCATATGTTGGTTCATAATTGGTATGAAATTTTTTGTTCATGTTTTGAATTATTAAATCACAGCTACCCAATGTTATGTTGGTGATTTTTTCCTCTTTGTACCAATGCTGATAGCTACTCAAAATGACTGAACATGAATACCCCACAAGACCTAAAGTTTTTTCTGAAATTTTTCCTTTATCAAAGTCACTAGAATCTTATATTTTGTAGATAACTGTGGTATTTACACATCAAAAGGAAATACTCAAGGCTAACTTACCTGCTTACATATATTTGATCTCTATATGTGTAGGTTTGAGACAGTCGCTATCATTCTTGTCAGTTGTTACTGGTCATATTGTTTTGGCTTATCAGTAAATATAGTTAATGATTTTTTATTATCACATTTTTCCTTAGTCATTTTCTTTTGCTAATGATTCTGATGACAATAATTTACAGTACTTGCTTTTAATGTTCATGTTCAATTTTACAATTCCATTTGTCTCAATGTGACTAATTTAACAATAAAATTAGTAGAGATACCCCATGCTGACCACAGAAAAATAAAGAATGTTCTTTTAATAAAAAAAGAAAGAAAAGATCATTTACTCTATTTATACATGAAAATGTAGATGTTACTGAAAAATATTCTGCTGTCCAAAATAAAACAAAAGGTACTACATCATGTTGATAAGATTTCTAGGTGCACAACATCGGTGCTTCTTCTACTGGTTTTCAGGTTGTTTCAGGATCCAACCCAAGGATGACCATCACAAAACAGGCCATGGAAAAAGCAAGGTGAAATCAGGCAGTGATCTTGAGAGATTGCCCTTGTGCCTTGTTGATGGTCATAGCTAAAAAGTTAAAAGTTAAACCTCATTAAGAATTAGAGTTACCTGAACTGAAAGGAACTGTTGGAATTATGTGACTCCTGGAAAGGAACATTTCCTTTTCTGTTTTCTCCAGTTAGGATAATTGCCTCAATGACATTTAGGGAAAAATGTTTGACAGGTAGTTGAATTTAATCGTACAAATTTGAACAGGTAGGATATCTTAGAGGCATGGCATTTTTACTTGAAACCTGTTGTAGAGAACACCAGCTAACTCCAGATAGTTGAAGAAATTGGTTGGGTTCTGACCAGTGTCCAAACAGTCTCTGGAACTATGTCAGTTAGCTTGTATAGCTGAACTTTCCAAGAATCTGTTGAAACAGCTTTTAAGTTTATTTCTTGCTCCTCATTCTTCGAAGCAAGTATACCTCACTTAGCTATTCATAGTTTTATGTAGAATTTTTTTTTCATTTAAAATAGCTGAAATAATAAAATTAATAAGCCTGAAAATTATAGAATTTTTGTCTGATAAATATCAGGGTTATATATAATTTACAAGCAAAAAGGAAAAAATAAATTATTTTAGTCTTTTAAGTTCTTGTGTTAGATGAAAAAAATTATTTATATCCCATCATAACTTCTGGCAATCTGGTGACTTTGAATGATCTTATCCTTTTGGGCAGTCAAAAACCTTTTTGTACTTCATAACAGACTCAATATCTAAATCCATGTCACTTGAAATTGCTTCATTTGGCTGGAAGTGGGTATTAATTAAGATCCTGTGGCTAACTATGTAAAATAAAATTTCATTCTTGGGATGTTTCATTTGGTTATGATGAACACACTCACAAACTTTGGCCTTGAAATATAAATGTTTTAATATTTTTTATTACATTTAGAATTAAATTTAATAATTATGTTCATAGCTAAAGAAATAATTTTGGTTATACTTAGACTATTTTGTTATATTAAGTGTATGGTAGCAAGAGAAAGGAATAATGAGGATTAGAGTGAAATGATGTTTATTGTTGGTAAAGAGTACAGGGATATGGTCAGGTGTACGCATAATGTTGGGAATTGAACCCTTTTCTTATGCCAGCATAGCTGGGGTTACAGGACATGGTTGGTGCATGTTTGGTTGATGGAGGCCATAGTTGTAGGTTGTCTTGTCAGTTAGTCAACCTTTTGTGAATAGAAATGCCTTGGAAACGAGTCAAGGTAGACTTGTTCGGTGGAGTGGATGTCACTGGGGCTGACTGCAAAGGGAATGCCTTAGAAATGAGTTGAGGTAGGCTGAGGTGACAGCAGGCTTGGGAGGGCAGTTCTGTGGAACGGAGGTAGCTGTGTCAACTCTGAAGGGAATGCCTTGTAAACAGGTCGAGGTGGATCTGTTCTGTGGAATGGAGGTTGCTGCATCGACTGTGAAGGGAATACTTTGTAAACAAGTTGAGACAGAGCTGTTCTGTGGAATGAATGTTGCTGGGTCAAATGCGAAGGGAATACCTTGTAAACGAGTCAAGGTGATACTGATCTGTGGAACAGAGCCTGGTGCATTGACTGTGAAGGGAATGCCTTTTAAACAAGACGAGGTAGATCTGTTATGTAGAATGGAGGTCGCTGCATCAACTACAAAGGGAATGCCTTGTAAATGAGCCAAGGTGACAACAGGTTTGGGAGGCCAGTTCTGTGGAATAGAGGTAGCTGCATTGACTGTGAAGGGAATGCCTTGTAAACAAGTCAAGATAGAACTGTTCTGTGTAACAGAGTTTGCTGCATCAACTGCAAAGGGAATACCTTGTAAACAAGTTGAGGAAGAGCTGTTCTGTGGAACAGAGCCTGCTTCACTGACTCTGAAGGGAATGCCTTTTAAACAAGTTGAGGTAGAGCTGTTCTGTGGAGCAGATGTCGCTGGTGTCAACTGTGAAGGCAATGCCTTATAAACAAGTTGAGGTAAGCCAAAATGACAGCATGGGTTAGTATTGATGAAGGCTTGCAGCTAGGATGAATCAAAGTTGAGATGTTGAGTCAAAACTGGATAGTCAAGGTGGTAGGTCAAGCCAGGAAATGGTAGCAGTCATTGAAATGTGCAGTCATGTTGAGTGGTGGCAGTGAAGGTGGTGACAGTGGGGGTAGTAGTGCATTGCATGGTGGCTGGTCTGCAACTCTGTTGTCATGGTGACAAGGTCATGGCAGCAGTAGCAGTAGCAGCAGCAGTGCCCAGTGTGATGGCCAGTGGCTGGGCTGCAACTGCGTTCTGGTTGTTCTCAGAGCCTGCTTTTAAGCAAGTCTGGTTGTACCAAAGGATGTCTCTTTTACTGGTGGGAACATTTGCAATTGGCCACCACCAGAGTTCACTTGTAGCCTGGACATGGTCCGTGGAGCCAAATGCACAAAAAAAGGACTTTTGTTATTTTGTCTTCTGCCTTGCGGTCACATCCGGTCAGTATGCAGAATGAATCAGAATGAGATTTAATTGTGAGGGGGTATAACAATATTTTAGCTATTCTTCTTACAAAGAAAATTTTATGCAATCTGAAGTTTCAGATATTGAAAACATGTCTAGACTCCTCAATAATAACCACATTCAGACCACTTTATAGAATGGAGAAAATAAATTCTGTATTCAATGAATACACTTGATGAATGAAACATTATACATGTTGTCAATATAATGACTTTTAATTAATCTCTTAATCACCGTTCATTTGAGATCTTTAAGAACTTTTGGCATTAGTTCTCTATACTATCCAACTCTTAACTAAATCAGTATTCACCTAAGTCAATTTACAACTGGAAAAAACTTGTGAAAATTGTTTCTGTTAAATCTACATTTATGGTCTTAAATATATCTTCCTGACAATATAAAAAAAATTGAAAATGATCAAATATTATACTAAAGAGAAAAAAAAATAAAAGTAAAAATAATGGTGTCCTAAAAAATTATAAATATAATAAATTATAAATTAAAAAGAAATGACAAAATTATCACATTTTACATATAAATCTAATTCTTATTTTCTTCATTTCTCAGATATTTTGGCCTTCTAAGTTACATAACATGTTTTATCCTGTTTTTCTGAATTGTTGGCTTGCTAATGATGCCATGTACGCTATTTTTGTGAGTATAAATTTATAATTACTCTTAAATTTAGCCAATTTAAATAATAGCTACAACATACTTTACTTCCAAAATTAAAATTTACTTATGAGAAGAAAGATTACTTTTTTTACATTATGTTCTGATATTTTGTTAGATAATGAAATATTTTAATTTGTTTTATGAGTAGATAAAGAAAGTAAAGTATGTAAATAAAATAGTGTCATTCTTCAAATTTTTGCAGAGGCATGTTGTATTGTATACAGATTTATGTAGTGTACCAAAAATCTTCTTTACTTGCTGCAGGTATGTGGTTTAGAAAATGTATCTTGATACTTGAAAAATGCTTATTTAATGTACTGCCTTTACATAAATTTGCTTAAAATTTACACAGCTAATGTATTTTGATGTAAAATTTGAGACTATGAAAATTAAAACACAAATAAACAAATGTGTATAACAGTAGGAAAATATCTGCAGAGCCATGAACATAACAATATTGATGTTTACCTGTAAAACCTTTATTTGGAATTACTGTATCTGTTTATATTTCTGAGATGAGGTATTATGTACATTATTTACATTATTCAGACTATTATCCTCATCTTTGTCGCCATATTTATTACAATGTTTCAGCCATTGCATGCTCTGGCCCTCTTCAGGTGGTTGGAATGTTGAACTGAACCCTTTATTTCGCTCACTGGGGTAGACTGTTCTAGTTCCACATGCCATGTTTAATAGATGTCAGTTATCAGTTATCTCCTGTTAATTTTCCTCTGAAAATTCTCCACTGCCTCTCCACACTCTTTGGGTCCTGTCACTGGATCTAACTAACGCCTTTATCCACTGTGCCATGTGTCCTTGAGGACATCTGTGTATGAATTTCTGGGTATTATAAAGCTAATGTCTTCAGCAACCATCTTTTACCAGTGCTCATATTGCAATTTTTGCTGTTATCATTTCAAGTTTTTACTAGAGCTCATATTGCAACTTTTTGTTGTTACTATCACTTTTCTCTGGCACTCCTTATTACTGGTTGCCATATTGTATTCATTTCTATGCTTGGTTGGATCAGATTTTTGTGGCATAGCATATGTGCTGATTCTTTAAGTTTATGAATTTCCTAATGGTGTTCTTTGTCTATGATCTCGCTCTGATCCCACAGAGTACAGTGATCTCCCTTCTCTCTCCATATGTGGTCAGCCATGCCTGATTTTTACGCTTTCCCTCGTGTTACAGCTTTCTGGTGTTCTTGAAGCCTTACGTTAAGGGGGCAGCCCGTCTCCCCTTTATATTTCTTTCCACAGCTGCATGGGATAGTGTACACACAGTCTTTAGTCATGTTCTATGGGGGCGGTCTTACTTGGGAGAGATATCTGTGTCATATGTCTGAAACTCCACCTCTTCGGGAAATAATCAAAGATACTCCCATCCTATCCAATCAGATGGTGAGCTTGGACATGGTGAGTTTTGTTTGATGAAAACATGTTCTAAAAATTATTTTTCAATGATCATGTGCAAACTTTAGATTAGCCACTCTGTTCTTTTTGAAAAGATGTCATTTAAGAATTATTTTTAGCATTAATGCACTGGTTGCTTTTAAATGTTTCATTTTGGTAGTCTTATGATTTTATTTGAATTTTTTAAATGTTTATTCAGATATTTTACATGCACAACCTCAAAAGTTACAAACTTCTCCCACTTGTATGCAAGTGACCCAATGGTATTAACAGTAACATTATATACTTAATATTCCTGAGGTTCAAATCAATAATTTTACTTAATTTTATTCTTTTGTTGTGTTATGAGCTTCTTCGCTATAACCAACATGACCGCTTTGTCCAAGAAATACCCACTAAAACATAACACTTTCTGTATTGATATATGATGTCATAAATATTTATATATCTAACAGTTTCCCAAATAGCTTTTATTATTTATTTTATCTATTACTATTAGCAGTTTTACTTGAGACATTTTCTCTATATTCATTACAGCTTACATGTTTTCTTGATAGTGTCAAATTTTGTATCAATTTATAATACTTATTTTTATTTCAAATAAATTTATACCATCAAAATATATTATATAAACATTTACATGTCTAAATACTTCTTCTCTTGTAGGAAAGTGTAAATATATTCTTTATTTCAAATATATTTAAGGTTTTTGTACAACTTGTGTTATTTGATTTTGTTTTCTCTGAAATATCTAAAATTCATACACATTTTATTGTTTACTGCTCAATGTTTCTTGTTTTTTTAGCAAATCTTGCACATCTTTACTTAATATTCAATGCTATTCTTAATAGCAGAAATAATTGGGCCACATCATCAGCAAAGCATATATTATCTCCAACAGCAACACATTATCATATGATATTACATTTCTTTTCAAACAAATATACTGGTCTAACATGTTTAGTGGCAAATAGATTGATGACTGTAATTAATATCAACAATACCTATCCTATCTATCCTATCCTAATGACTGTTTGTTCTTTAAGAATGATATCCAAATTATTTCCAGCTCTTGTATTTTAAATTTTGTTTTCCTATCAAACCACCAACTCCTTCCACAAATTAACACCATATTAAAAATATTGAAAACATTTTTAAAAAGAAAGCCTTCTCCTTTTATAAAATTTTAATACTTTGTAAATAAATATGCATCAAGTTTTAGTATTTTCCTATTAATAAAATATCTGACTAAGAAAAACATCCAAATTAGAAAAATATATTTGCTATCATCTCAAATCAGAAGATTTATGATCTGAGTATTGTTTTTGTTTTTGTTTCAGAATGACATCCATGTCACTGGAAAACGATTCCAAAGTATTTCTGTCACACTCTCCCAGCAACTTTTTATGTTGATTGGAACACTCTGCTGTTTAATATTCACAACGTAATATTACATATGGATTTAATGATTCATTTGGACAATATTTATACAATCACATTATAGATAAAAGAAAACACTGTCATGATAATTATAGATATAAATAAAAATTATATATCTATATATATCTATATGTAAGCAAATATATGGATATAGATCCGACAGTATGAAGAAAAATATATACGGAAAAAACAAAACAAAAATCCTTATATACAATTATGCTGTTAAACTTTCAGTTATTTATTTGGATAAGTCTTGTTCTAATGTACATCGTCTTTCTCATGTTGTATTGATAATGTTATATTTATGTATATGTCCTGAAGATGGTTTATTAGACCGAAACATATTAACATTAAAACAGCATAATCGTACATAAGGATTTTTGTTTTGTTTTTCCGTATATATTTTTCTTCATATATCTATATAAAAAATTTTATATATATATATATATATATATATATATATATATATATATAAAATTTTTTTATTAAAAATTATAAAATAAATATGTTATAAAATCTCTACAAAAATAGCTATTTTGTTTCAACACATCTGGTGTCTTATCAAATGATGGTGTTGAATGTATAATAAAGGATTTTAAAAGGTTCAAATCAATCAAACACCCCTCGCCAGGGGAAATGCTGTTACATAAGCTGGAATGACCAATCAAAATACAAGTATATGAGAATTCAAAAAACTTGGCAACAAATTTTGGTTATAATAATTATTTAATGCTTTAATGTTAGGGGTTAGACTAAAATAGAATTCATTCTAACTAATAAATATTAAATTATACTATAAAATTAAAATTACCAATTTTAAATTTAATCTAAATTAAGTTTAAATTTATAAAATTATTTAAAAAGAAACTGAGTTAAAAAATACATATGTTTTTCTATTTATTGAAATTAACTTGAATAAACATTAAGATCTAATGCTACTCTGAAATCCGTTACAACTTAGATACATTTGGAGTGAAGACATGGGCTGGGAAGGATGAAATCTTGCAAAAAGACAATGCATACACAATCAGATTATAATACACAAACACGCAGGCATATTTGGATATATAAACACGCAAAAAAGCAACGAGACAGGAAATATATTCACAACCCTTAAAAAAAAAAAATGACAACATACAATGAAAGGCACACACATGTGATCATACACACACACACACACTTTCAAAGGCATACACATACACACACATACATACATTGACAAAGATACACCCATACACCCACCAGGAAATATTCAATTTTGAAAGTGTTATTGAACGAATTCTAACATCCTATTAAAATATAACTTATACAAGCAAAGATATATAGATAAAAATGGTTGAATAGATAAAAACAAACATTCATCAATGAACAACATAAGGAAAAAAGGAGACTAAGACATACAGACATGAACAGAAAAATAGATATATCAGCATAAAAATAACACCATCTAATATATAAAAAAGAGAATTCCCAAACATACAAATATATATAAATATCTCATATACACCAATATACGCACTAGTCCACATACACAAGTACAAATATATAACAATATGTGAAAGAAAATAAAATATATATAGATCTGTGTACACACATTCTTCACTACAGACAGAAACACACAAAACCATACCTACATGCAAACATATACACACACATATACCCATATACATACATATATATATATATATATACCCATATATACACATACACACACGTGCACACATACATACATGCACACATACACATATGCATATACACACAGAGAAAAAAACATAAATATATCAACCCACACAGCAACATAAAAAGTCGACAAACCAAATATACATATAAATAGATATATACACACATACAGAAGCACACAAACATACATATACAAACACAGACATATATATATATATATATATATACATATACATATATACATATATTCACACGCACACATACATACATGTATACATACATAAACCCACACATCTTCTAACAATATTATCTTAGTGACGATAAAGGACTGTAAAGTCCATACAAGATTAAAATGTAACGAGACACAACTGTTGATTATTAAGTCTATAAGCAATTATAAAACCTTTATCAAACAAAAGTAGATTTTAGTTAGCATTGATGATACATTCCAAGACACTAAGATATACAGATATATATACGAAGACATACACACATAATAATAATCGACTCTCCCCTCGAGATTCGACATATGAGGGTCAAGCAGATCAGTTTCCAGGAAACCGACAGCCCGACACCGGCACATGAGATTTGATTATAGTGGTGAAGGCCTTGTGCAGGACCATCCACACTTTTTGAAAGGACGAATACAGAGACCTGGTGCACCAAATGCCACGAGGTTCCCAAACGACCCTCCGCAGGTTTTGAATTCAGAGTTGTCCTTCTCCTAGACCAGTTGCCATCCAAGGCTATAGAACCTAGTCTGTCCTGCTATTTTACCCATACACACATACACCCACATATATATATATATATATATATATACACTCACATATATATATATATTCTGGTGAAATAATTTATTACAATGGAGCCTTATTACAATGAAGATTTTCGTTACTTAACTATTAGCTCCTTATAAAAATAAGTTGAGCAGTCATTGGATCACCTTGCATTGGATTACCGTAAGGATCCACACTTTCAACAAAAAATGGATAAATTTACACCAGATTACTCACTCAAAAACACCCCTTACCCTTCTGTTGAATATTTCACCATTTCCTTAATGGGAAAAATTATTGACCTCATTAAAAGAATGAGGTGGAAAATCTACTTTCATTTTAATCGCCAAAACAAACCTGAAAACCTTAATGACACATTTTACTTGAAATCCCAATGGGAGCATATGATTCAGCTCTAATAGCAGATTTAATAGGTATATACATTTTAGATATCCTAAGCAGATTCCTAAACCCCCAAAATGAAGGGCTGTACAGAGATGATGGACTTATTGTTATACCTAATATCAATGGTCCTCTAACATCCCAACTACAGAAGAAAATAATTAAGGCCATCAAATTTCTGGGGTTTAAAATCAAAATATTATTCAACCTAAAAATCGTAAATTTTCTAGATGTTACATTTAATCTCTACAATAACACCTACAAACCTTTCCAAAAGGAAAACCAATCGCCCATATACATAAATATCGACTCAAACCACCCGAAAGCAATTATAAACCAAATTCTTAATACAGTAAATACAAGAATAAACAAACTGTCTTCTAGTAAAACAATCTTTAATCAAAACAAATCGACATATATTCAAGCCCTATTAAAAAGTAAATTTAAACAAACATTAAATTATATAGATAAACCAATTAATAATGCATCCACTAAGTCCAAAAATAGGAAAAGGAAGATTATATGGTTCAACCCACCTTTCTGTAAACTATCTAATATCAATATAGAGAAATACTTCCTAAAGCTAATAGATAAGCATTTTAGTAAAGATGAGCGATTGAAAAAGATGTTTAATAAAATGAATCTAAAAATTAGTTATTCATGCATGAGCAATGTAGAAAAAATTATAAGCTCTCACAATAGCAAAATTATTAGGGAATTTCACAATAACAAAGTGATCTTAATGCAAATCAATTGAAAAGAGAAACATCTACCTGTAATTGCAGAGCAGGATCTGATTGTCCAGTAGGAGAAATATGCATGGCAGAAAACGTGATATTTCCCCAAGGAAAATATAAAACAAAAAAAGATATATATAGGAATATCTGCGGGAAATTGGAAACAGTGTTTTTACAACCATCGCCAATCCTTCACAAATGAATCTAAAAAACACCAAACAGCACTATCGAAACACTATTGGGATTTATTGGAGAATGGCTTCACCCCACAAGTGAAATGGAGAATTGTCTCTAGGGCTCGAACTCCAATGAATTTCAGAGACTAATGTGACCTAGAGAAGATCCTAATGATAAAGCATAAAGATCCTGATAAATTACTGAACCAGCATAACGAGATGATTTTTAAATGCAGACATAGAAATCATCTCAATTTAACTTATTACATTTAAAAAAAAAAAAACTATATACGATGGTAAATATTGGCTTATTTTTAGATTTGAGGATGATTGTATGCACACATGTGTGCGGATACATAATTGTATGTATATAAATGTGTATATGGACTTGGATATGGATATGTGGATTTATGTGTATATGTATATAAATGTGTATATGTGTATATGTACATATATATATATATATATATATATATATATATTGTGGGTGCATGTGTAAATATGTATATGTATATGGGTATTCGTAATTTTAGGTAGCTATATGTATATATGTATCGATTCATGTATGTGGAGTTGCATATGTGTTTGTATATGTATATATATATATAAGTATTTATGAATTCATATATGTGATATGTGTGAATATATGTGTAGGATATAGTTCTATGCATATATATGCATATATTGGTATAAATGGGTGTATGTTTTTTATATATATAGAGAGAGAGAGTTCTAATGGAAGGACAGAAAATTTTTTATTACCATTTAATCTTACTTTCTCTTTAAATAATTTCTAATTAGAATTGTAAGATTGGAAATTTTACTTATCTGGAGATAATCTCAATTTAAATTGATCATTTAGATTTAAATTAAAATATGTTACTCCTTAACTATTAGTCATGATGTTAAAAATATTAAAATTAAATATATTTTTTGAAATTTAAACACTTAATTCACCACCTAACGTTAATTGTAAAAATTAAGGAAAAAATTTAAATAGGTATAAATATGAATGTGTGTGGAGATATGTAATTGTATATGTAAGTATTTGTATATGTATATGCATATATACCAGTGTATATTGATACATGTGTATGTGGTTATATGTGTAATTGCACATGTACATGAACGTATGTATATGTAATTTTTATGTAAATACGTATGTGGTATATGTATGAAAAAACAATTTTTTTTCTTACTATTACCTTCAAATCTTACTCCATCTTGATT